TTTACCCCGACGCGTGGTGTTCTCCCAGTTCCAGGGTTGTTCATATATTATACGACACCGGCCAATACCCCCACTTCGTGGGGGGGCAGTTCAAGCTCTACCAAATATCCAAACGACTCTTCGCGACCACCCAAACCCAGCTTCCCGCCCTATGACGTTGGGACACTTCACTTCGTGGCTTGCGGACGACCGTGGCTACTACACTGGCGTGGGGTACACACCCACAGAACTTGGTCACGTATTCGGGGCGCGCATGTGCCCAGCATGGTGCAATTGTGGCATACAATACATAATACAGAGAGACAGAGAGAGAGACAGAGAGCAGACAGAGAGAGAGACAGAGAGAGCGGAGTTGGTCACATTTTTGGGTCAAGTTCCTGGGATGATGGGAATACACAACTCTGTTACATTTTATAGTGTGCACGACACACATGAGATGATACGTACTCGCAAGATAGTTGGTCACATTTGTGGAATTCCTGGGCGGATGTGGGGATACACAAATACCTTTGTTACCAGTGCTAGACATGGTACAGACACTGAGAGAGAGAAGGCGAGACAGAGGAAGAGAGCGGGAGAGAGAGAGACAAAGAGAGAGAGACAGAGAGAGAGGAGTGGTTTTTGAAGATTTCGGCGTGCGCGCGCGAAGAAAAAACGAATGTGTCCCGCATGGTATTATTTGACAGGGATGATGGCCCTGGCAGGTGCGCAACCGTTGTTGCAGAAGTTCGAAAAGTTGCTCGCAAAAGCCCGTTTGACAGAAATGATTAAAAAGTGTTGGGTTTCCTACGAATCCGCAAGAGCGCGCGGGATGAATTTTTGACATTTTTTTTTTGAAAAACCATTGGTTTTTTGATGTTTTTATGTTAAAATCGCTACGAACACTAAGGTTTTGGAAGGATTTCGTCTTGCGCGCGCGAATGTCCACTTTACCTTATTTTTTGCAAGGGATTCTTGAAATTTGATTATATTAGAACAAGAAATGTCATTTTATAGTGTTTTTGCAAGGGAAAACGGATTACAACAAAAAAACCGGATCTGGACCCCATCCACTTTTCTGAAGCTTTCGCGAAAAAATGATGAAAATGTAGCTGCGGCCTAGGCGCGGCGGGGGGGCCGTGCACCAGGGGTCCCAACAATAATTATTCTTTAGAATTAATAATGTTCAACAACAACAACGCTCCCGCTCGAGACTTCCTCTGCTTTTACTCAGGGCCGGTGATCTTGCTCGCCGCCGAAAACCGCCGTCCCAACAAAACCAGCGCTCCCGCTCGAGACTTCCTCCCGTTTTACCTTGGACTGGTGCGCTACTCTCTCTCTCTCTCTCTCTCATCGGCGCCGCCCCCAGCAACTACAACGCTCCCGCTCGAGACGTCCTCCCTTTTTCACTCAAGGCGGTGCTCCTCCTCGTCGCCGAAAACCGCCGTCCCGACAAAACCAGCGCTCCCGTTTCCTCCGGTTTTGCGCTGGACTGGCGCCCTACTCTCTTTTGAACTGGCACCGCTCCAAGCGAGAACAACGCTCCCGCTTGAGGCTTTCTCCCTTTTTCCTCAGGACGGTGCTCTTCCTCGCCGCCGACAGCCCCCGTCCCGACAAAACCACGGCTCCCGCTCGAGGCTTCCTCCCTTCTTGCCTAAGGCGGCGTTCCTCTTCGCCGCCGACAACCGCCGTCCACACAAAAACAAGCGTTCCCGCTCGAGACTTCGTTTCGTTTTACGCTGGACTAGCGCCATACTCTCTTCAGCATTGGCGCCGCTCCCAGCAACAATAGCGGCCTTGCTCGAGACTTCCTCCCTTTCTATTCAAGGCCAGGTCCTTTTCTCGCCGCCGACAGCCCCCATCCCCACCAAGGCAATCCGGTCGCTCGATACCGCCTTGTGTTTTACCCTTGGCTGGGGCTCCACTGGCGGTCTCGCATCGGCGTAGCAAGGCGCGGGCATGCGTTTTCGAGGCGGGATGTGTTGAAATTCCTCGGAGGAGGTGTTTGCAAGACCTCTTTGGGCGGGAGATCTGGGAATGGGAATAACGGACCCCACCATAGAACAGGAATCCCCCATGATGGGGATGGTTATCATGATGATGGCTTGCTTCGTGTGGAAACATCGCGCATGAGGGTAAGATGATTGTTGTTGTTATTGTTGTTGTTGCCCGGGGCCCAACAACGCAGTCAAACTTTCCCTGATAAAGACAAGGTGCGAGCCCCGAAGGAGGCGCTTCCAACTTAAACAAAAAACAATGATTAGCGGAGCGGGGGGAACCACAATAATTGTTCTTTAGAAATGAGAAGTCAACAACAACAGCAGCAACAACAACAGCAACAACAGCAGCAACAGCAGCAACAACAGCAACAACAACAACAACAACAGCAACAACAACAGCAGCAACAACAACAGAAAACGCCTGTCGTGATTCTTCAGTGCCTCGAAGGGGGTCCCCCAGCCCAAATTCCCCCCCCGAACGCCCTCGTGAACACGCTCCCGGCCAGGCCGTCCTGGGCCCAGGAGGCCTCGAACGGGTCGCCCGCACCGCTCCGCGGCCGCACGCCCGGCCCTGGTGCCGCCGTGCTGGCGCTGCCTGGCAAGGAGAGCCCGGCACGGAACCGGTGCGTCGCATCGGGCCAGCTGATTCTGGAGTCGATCTCCTGTGCGAACTTCGGTTCCCGAAGAAAACGGGCCTCGCTCCAGAAGCCCTGGGAAGCTTGCCGTCACTTCCAGTGGCGTGAGCGAGGCCTCAGCCAGAGTCTCACCTCCGATGGCCCTTTTCTCGGCCTCAGCCCTGGCTGGGGAGACCATAATCAAATCGATGCGTCGGGTCGGATCGGCGATCGAAGTGAACAGGATCGGCGGCAACCGGCGGCCAAATCGGGAGAAGCCGCATCGGCGGAACTCGGCAGGCTAGCAAAACCCCCATTGAGAAATTGGAATCCACATCGACATCCGAAGACGAAACGAAACAGAATCGGAATCTACCGAAATCGGATCGAATCGACTCGTAGAAGTCGAATGAGTCCTGGAAGGGGGGGGGGCGGCCGTTCGCGACGATCTGGCACCTTCGGAATGCCTTCGGCGAGGCGCAGCTGCTGGCGAGCATCCTGAGGCTGGAAGGCCGCCGAGCACCGACAAAAACATCCGAAAACCTCGAACCTCAAATCCGGAACAATCCCCGGGGTAGGGCTCGCGGGGTCCTCGTTCGGCTCTCCGAACGACTGGACGGACCGACAACATCTGAGAACCGACGAAAACTCTCTAAAATCCAGAAGCATCCCGAGGCTGGCCCGAAAACGCTCGAAAGCATCCCGAGCCCTGGCCAACCGCCGAGAACTGACGAAAACGCTCGAAAACACGCCCAGAAGCATCCCGAGGCTGGCCCGCGAACGCTCGAAAGCATCCCCAAGGCCGTGCACGGCGACGGCAAAACCGAAAACGAAAACCGAGAGAACCGACAACGAAACCGAAAGCATCCAAAATCTTGACAGGCCGAAAGCAGCCCAAAAAGGTGCAACGACACGGCAACGACACAAAAACTAACCGACCGAAAACAACCGACTACGACGCAACCGAACCGACCGAACCGCGAGAGCCCTTGGGGCACCAACCACATGGCATCAACCCGTAGGGCATCAGCGCGCCAATGGCCGACTTTGACAACAAGGCACGATGGGTTCTGCGAACCTTCCATGGGCTCCGCGCCCCTATCATAACCGTAATTTCGACCGGACTTCGTCCAGATTTCGTCGAGACTTCGATCAAATTTCGAGCCGATTTCGTGACGCAACTGGCTGTGACGCAACCGAACCGACCGAGCCGCAAACACCATTGGAGACTCGGGCAGAAGGAGGGAATCAGGCCAAATCGGCTCAAAAACGATCCCCAGACCCATCATGGGGTCCATCTGGTGCACTTTCTCACCTGGATCCGTTTTTCGCGGTTCTGGGGCCCGAGAACGTCCCCTGGAGGCCGAGAAGGGCAAAAAACCTTTCTGGACTTGGACGAGCTTTCGACCGGAGCTCTGGCCTAGCCCGCGCGGGAGGCAGCCCAGCTGCGCCAGGAGGTGCTGCTGCAGGCAGGCGGCCGGCTCCTGGAGGGCACCGGCAGGCCAGAGCCGGCAGAGCGGACCGGGCCGACTCTTGGAGGCGGTTGGGGGGTCTGCACTGGCTGGGACCCCACAAAATGGGCCAGGAGGGGGGAGGCGAGGCCAAGTCGACGCTGATCGGCGACAGATCGACACTAGATAGGCGCTCATCGGCGCCGTCTCATCAATTGCCTGCCAGACGCTACTCGACGCTAACGCATTCTAAAAAGGAATTGCGACGGCCTGCAAGGCTCCCATGTTGGAGGCGGGCGGAGGGTCTCAACTGGCTGGGACCCCAGAAACTGGGTCAGGAGTGGGGCGGCTAGGCCCAGTCCAAATTCGTTCAGAATCGGTCCCCAGACCCCTCCTAACGGTCCTGGGACTCGAAAACGGCCTCTGGAGGCGGAAACAAGAACAAAAAAAAAACAGCTCCAACCCAGAACCTCGAACCTGCCCGCCCCTCCTGTTGACCAGAACCAATGCTGGGCCACCTCAGACCCCCAGACGGCTCCAAGAGCCGACCACAGATCGAGCAGCGGAACAGCCCAGGGCCAGCAGATAACGCACTCTGGCGGGGAGTGGGCGCCCCTGGGCCCGCCAGGGGAGAGGCACACACCGCAAGGACCTGCAGCATCGGCTGCGCCTCGCCAGGGGATGTTCAGGGGAGGCGGCCACCCCGCTGTCCCCTAGCGGCCGTCTTGCCGCGGCTTGGACAGCCATTTCCCGTGCACTTGTCGGTATCGTGCGTGTTTCTTTTGCTCGATGATCCAAGATGCTCTTCAATGGTCCTCGCCGAGAAGAGCTGTACACGTCCGAGCGATGCCAAGCCGTTCTAGTGCGACAAGATTTTTACATTATCCACCTCCCCGGGCCTGGCTCATCCTGGGGCTGTGGACATGTATAGATCTCGTCGCTGCCGCCGTGTGCGCGGCCCGCCGCCAGTGTGCGCGCGGCCAGCGTGTCGGAAAGGGTGGTTGTTGGTGACAGCGGCCTGGGCCTGAGGTCCCCCACGAGGGAGAAAGGAGGGGGCAATCCGAGCTCCTCGGGAGCCCCTCTGCCGAATCGCTGTTGCAGACAAGTGCCTTCCCAAAACCACGGGGAGCGGGAGAGGGACCAGCTCGGCTCTTTCGGGGCATCTCTATCCCCTGAGCCTGGAACAGCCTCAGCTCGTCGAGTGGCATCGCCTGTCTGCTCTTGCTGACAACCTGCACGACCTCCTCGAAGGCCTCGTCGGGCACTGCCTGGAGCCCCGGCACCGCCGCCCACAGCGACCTCAGCTGATCTCTCCGGGTCATCTCGCCCTGCTCCTCTCCCAAGCCGCCCGCCTCGCTCGCGGGCCAGGCGACGGCCACCCTCATCTCCTCCTTCAGCGACCGCGCGTCGACGCGCGCATAGGGAGGCGCGCGGGGGTCGCCGAGCTCGGCTCTGGCGGCGCCCAGCGCGAATCGCACCTGCACGGGCACCCTGTCTGGCAGGCGCGCCTCTCTCGACAAGTCCAGGCCGTGGCCGCCCACGCCGTTCACGTGGCCGAACTCGCCGTCCGGCAGGAGCTGCCCGTCCCCGTCAAGCCCCAGGTCAACCTCGTACACCCCTAGGCCGGCGTCCTGCACCTCCAGACATTGTGTGTGACGTGTGAGAGTGGTTTTAAAACAGGTCCGCCCTATTAGCGCCTATTAGTGCATGTGTCCCTCTTAACGCCTATTATCGCTTATGAATACCAGTTCCCGGTTGCTAGCGCCTATCAGCGCCTCTTGGCGACCACCAATGAGCAATAATCGACGTTAGCAGCCGGGGGAGACAGCAACCCATGTTGACAATGACTCTCACGCATAAAACACCTAACGGACGACCCTGAGAACCGGACAACGGCACACGCCGTCGCGCGAAAATCCTGGCCTGTCGAATCTCTGATGGCCGGCATTCCAACGCGCCCACAGACCAGCCCGATCCAGGGCCAAATACTAGTGCAAATTCCTCTCTGCCCAGGCCAGGCAGGCGTATACACCGATCCTGGGCCCAGGATGAGCCTGGCCAGGATCGGTGTATGCGACTAGTTTCGGCGGCGAGCCCACGGGGGCAGCCAAAAGGGGCGGGCCTTCTCAGAAGCCAGATGGCTTCTCAGGATGCCAGAAGGTTTCCGAGAAGCCCTGCCGCCTTGTGAGAAGGCATATCCCTTCTCGTTTCCAACTCGCGCGCCGCAGCCAATGTGGGATTGGACACATCCTGGCTGGATTCAAACAGACGGACGTTGAAAGAATACGAGAGTCGCATCAGCTCTGGGCCAAAAGGCAAAATCGACAAGCCTGACTTACGATCTACCAAATCACCCCAACCCAAACTAACCCGAAATCCCCAATATCGGATTGGGAAGGGTATTGGCTCCCTCTGTTTTTTAATGCTTCCGGGTGCCCCCCAGTGGGAATGGAGGGCAATTTGGGGCCTTCGGGTTGGATAGGAGTGGTTTGGTAGGTAGTGACTGACGGAGCCTGACTGGCACTGGCCAAGCCATTTTGGGAAGACACACTCTCAGATGAATGGCATGGGAAAGAGGCGCTTCCGCTCGGCAATCAAACGTTGCTGAATTCGCACCATTAACCGAATGAAATTCCGCAGCACGGATTCTGTTTGTTTGCGTGTTTGTCCGCGTCGCAATCGCCCGCGACCCGCCCGCGACACTTCGGCGACCTACCCCGCGACCCACACACCTGGCGCCTTCGGCGGGCTTCTTCAGGAGCCTCGCAGACTACCGACGACCCCGCCTCCCCCCCCTCTCCTGTCCGCCACCGTGGGATGCTGTGGTTCTCTCCCTTCCCCCGGTCCTGCTCCTCGTCCTCCTCTGTCTCGGGCGGGGGGGTCGGTGGGCCTGGCCGGGTGGGGCGGAGGGGGGGGGGCGGGGAGCGGGGGCCCCGCGGGGCCCAGGGGCCTGGCCCAGGCGGGTCGAGCCTCCTCATCCTCGTGCACGGGAGGAGGGGAGCAGCGGGGAGGAGGACCCCGAGGGAGCGGAGATCGCTCTGATTTTCTAAGAGCTTGAGCCCAATCGCATGAGCACGCATGAACATGATGCTCTACTTCTGATTTGACATTCCCTCTGGTACTACGTGTCCCCGATCTAGATACCACAATCTTGGTGCGCTGAATGTATGACACACTCTGGAAAATCAATCGCCGAATTGATCCACCTTAAACCTTATTCTCTGAATGAACCCAACTCAAATCAAGAGACGGGCGAGGGCGGAGGCCGAACGGCGGAGCAATCAAGCGTCGAGATCGAGGAGGTCCTGCTACGAGTAGCTGTCCGTCGTCTCCAATATCCGCCGCATGGTGATCTGCTTTCCCTTGGGCGGTGAGTTGCGCCACCTGCTGGCAGTACGATGCTCCACCAGTAGTTTGAACACGCCAGTCGTGGCGAAGCCGTCCACGATGCCCACCTCCGCGGGCAGGTGGATGAAGTTCCAATTTTGTCCGCTTAGGCGTTCTTCTCTCATGCTTAATATGGCCAGCCTACTTGACTTGTCTGAGAGTGCTCCTTTTGACGCCGCAATACAGTTGCCAGAAGTCCATGCAGTCCGCGCAGTGGTCGGTCCTGACATGACACAACGATCTGTCGAAATGTTATATCATGTTCTTGGCCTTGTGCTGGGTCTCTCCGCACATGATTATCTCGCTCGGCCTCGGGGTTTTTAGCTGGGCCATCTGTTTCAGTTGTTGCCCGCATTCGTCTCTGCGCTGCACATCGAATGTGATATTCGCCTTGCTGTCCTGAGGATATCATCCATGAGTGTGTCATGCCACCTAGGACACAACTGTCATCAACATGTAATGTGCTCTTCTTGCCAATAATGACCAGGTCCATGTGGTCCCCCACGAGGAAAACTGTTGCTCCTTCCTGTGGATATGAGGTCGTGGTGTTTCCGTGCCCGGCGTCGCCAGCTGAGAGCAACCTCGCGGGATAGGATGTGGGATCAAGAGTGCAAGCCGGTCATTTACATGCTTCTCTTGGCCCGATCGAGAATGAGGTGCACCTGGTTGAGATGCTGGATGGTGCTCTTACGGGCCGTCTGTTGTAGTTGGACCGCGTCGCAATATGTCCTCGCATCTGGAACAACCAAATAAGTGAGCAGAGCGCCTGTCTTGCATCATCAATCATCGCGTCGCACTCGTGATCCGCCGTGTCATCGAGCTTCAGCGGGATGTCGACTCCACTGCAGCCGCGAGTCCTTCGCCAATACTATGATATCGTCCACGTGCACCGCCCAAACCATCATTGCGCTGTCCTCTCTGACCCACATAAAGAAAATGCCGTCAAATAAGCAGGTCATAAGCGCGTGTAGTGTCAAGAGCTAACTGCAAAAGTAATGGTGCGTCCACTGTGCCGTAGATGTGCTTCAACAGCTGCGACGCAAAGAGAGCTGTCTCAAATTCGGGGATCTGGAGGGTCGTCAGGCGTTAGCCCGCGGCGGAGGATAGACCTCGCACTGCTCGCGAACTTCGAAGCCGATGCGCGTGGCGTGCTTCCGTAGACGCTCGTAGTTCAGCCCGTGCAGGGACGCCGTCGAGACGTCACGCGTCTTCATCACCATGTCCTTCCCAGTGGAACACAGTGACGCAATCATTTGCTGGGGCAACCTCGATGCCGTTGTCGAGTGCCTCATGACGTTCTGCTTCTGGGCGCCTGGGAAACGTCTGCCTCCCAGTCGAGACTTAATGATGCAGGTGCTGTTGTTGCTCTTGTTGAAGACACTCTCCCAGCGTCTCACCCGCGCCGTGTCGATCACGCTCGCGCAGCCCATGTTGTGCTGGTGGTCCATGAAGCGAGCATTGTCAATGAATGAGCACGATTCGGCCAGCCGCCTCCACTAGAGGCCAGTGGTTGAAGATGCCCCACTTGATTAATGCGTCGTCACTCTGGACAAGGATGGCCCTACCTGTGATCAAAGCGAAGCATGAATTCCTGCTTTCCTCGCCTCCTCTGCGGTCTTAATGAATTCGTTGATGTTCATCCGCTGGAGGTTATCAGGAGCTTCTTGGAACGTAGTCGTCATGATCGCCTGGTACTCAGTCAGCTCCTCGGTGCCCATGTGGGCGCCAATGAGACGCCTGTCCTCGATGCGGGGTACGCCGAGTTGCTGATCTCCGGAGGCCACGAATGTCTCCCATCCTTGCGGGCGCTTCGCGTGCGTCAGCCGCAGTGGTGAAGTCACTTGCGGGTTGTCTGGAGATGTTGGTTCCAAGACAGGCAATGGTCGTTTCGTCGATGGTGGTCCCGAGGCGGCTCGGATCCTGGCCCTCTTGATCTTCGGAGGTCGTGACGGTGGCGCAATAATCTTTGCTTTTTCTAGGTCGGTCGTTGTGTCGTGCTTTCTTGATGGTGGTGCTCTTGCTTCCCAACCCCTCGCCGGTGTCGCAGCTGCTGGAGGTCCAGAATCCAATGCTGGTGATTCGTCGTCGTCGTATACCAGGGTGCTCTTTCGTGCTCTGGAGTCGACGCTTGGTTGTCGGCTGCCTGTGGTGCCGTCGGGGTAGGGACTCCTGGTCGAGTTGGTGGTGTAAATGCTGTAGGTTGGGCTCCTGATGATGACGCTGCGGTTGTTTCCGCGGTCCTCGTCGGCGCGGAAGCCGACGGTGCTGGCGTAGGAATTGTTGGTCGAAGTGGAGCCGTTGGAGTTTGAAGTGGGGTGTCTGTCGCTGGTGTTCTCGTAGGCGTTGTCGGTATAGTTGCTGTACCTGGTGGTCTCTCGTGGAGAGAGGGGCTCGATGTGTCAGTTCGTTCTGCCAGCGAGGCGTTGATCTGCTGAGCCTCCGCCGTCTCGCTTTTGGCGTCGGCGCTGCAACTGGCGTCGGCGAGGCGGCTGGGCCCGATGGGGTTTCCAGTCCAGCCGCTGGAGGCGGCGGTGCCGGAGCTCCACTTCTCCTCCTACACGTATGAAGAATTCGTCACTGACCATGCCAGCGTCATCTACCGATATCATTATCGGGCCCTCTCGAGCTCGCCGGTCTTTGTGCCAACTGTTGTCGCCCCGCAGCCTGATTTGCATAGGTCCTGCTAGTGGAAACGGATGTCTTGGAAGGATGTTGTTCGCGATGCTATCGCCATCCTCCTGCCGTGCCATGTCCGCGCTGATGTCGAACGCCTGTGGGCTTCTGGCCCGTAGCTGGCGGAGGTCCTGGAGGCGGTCCTCCACTTGCTGGTCTAAACGGTAATGCATCAGACCAATCATGCAATTGGGCGATGAGTTCCGGATGCCGGTAGTGCTAGGGAGGTCGTGGCCCGCTGCGTCGTCCATTAGCTTCCGCCACTCTGCCACTGGAGGTGCTGGAGGCGGCGCTGGTGGTGGCTGGCGCCAACTGGGAGATAGCGCGGATACTTCGTCTCGGCCAAGTGATAGTGGCCATTGACGTGGTAGGTCTGGCTGACCAGCGTCATCTGGGTCGAAATCGATGCTGGAGATGTCCGCGAAGTCTGGCATCCAGCGCTGTCTAGCGCTGTCGGCCTCGACCAGGGCCCCGAAGGTGCAGAACATGACGCTGCAGACATTGACGTCCTCCACGTCTGATATCATCGGCAATCTTTCCAATGTCTGCCGGCTCGGATCGATTCCCTTCGCTGCGT